TGAAAACATAACTACAAAGAGATACCTACCCGCCCACATGCAAAAAGCACTCTTCACAGTAACCATAAAGGAGAGACAACCCAAATTTCCACAAGTGAGTGGGTTGCGGGTTGGGGAGTACACAACCCTCAACCCGGAAGTGCTTGCTGAGCTGGGACTTTGTCCACCCCACCAGTCCCATCCACAGCCAAAGGGCCAGAGCCAGTCCTGGATGCAGCAGGAGACTGGAAGTCTGATGCAACTTCCGGTGACCCTAACCTTAACCCTAACCCTAGAGCTGGGAGAAAAGATACCACTGAGCTGCACAGGGCAGGGACTGGCGGGGTGGGGAAGGCTGGTGATTCAGGGTACCGTGGCAGGGTGTGCAGAAAGAGATCTCAGGGACCACAGGACAGACACCTGGCCCCTGCCCTGAGCACCTGTGTGGTGACCTGGCTGTGCTGGCTCACCTCTCCAGACTTGGGGACCCCAGGAAAGTGCCAAGCAGGTGTGCTCCAGGTCCCCCTTCCCAAGGTCGCCTGACTGAGTGCCCTGTCTCCCAGGAAAAAATCCCTGAAGTCGTTTCTCCACGCTGTTCCCTTCCCAGACCCCAGGGGTGCGGGTCCTACCCATGGGGGGTGCAGGTGACTTACAGGAAGCTGGCGCTGCAGGGTGGGAAGGAGCAGAGTCAGTTTTGACCCAATGGAGGCTGACGGGGGGGGGGGGGGGGAGGGGGACTGGATCCCTGGGCTTTGGGTCGCACTGGGGTGTCACCAGAGGGGCCTGGCTTCCTGCTGCCAGTTATACAGAACTGGCGCTTGATCCACACCTGGCCACCGCACAGGGTCAACATGAGGCATCGGGCTGAAGGGGACAGTGAAGATGGGGCCCCAGGCCCCTCCACCTCTGCCTCCACAGTTCTGTCCCACCCAGGGCACAGGTTCCGTCGCCCGCCCAGTCCCAAGGCAAAGCCTTGGCTGAGGATTGTGCATCTGCAGTGCGCCCAGCGCTGTGCTGAGCAAACCAAGTCCCCTAGCTACCGAGGTCTGGAGGACCCCCTGTGACGAACCCCCTCCCCTCAACCCCATCCATAGTGAGGAAACTCAGACACAACGATGAAGGAAGTGTGCCGCCCATGCCTGCATCTAGGACAGCTGAATGTGCACCCACTGCTGTGGGGCTCTTGGGGACTCCGGGGACCCCTAGCTGAGCTCTCTCCTGGGATTCGGCCACTGGAAGAGCTCGGCTCTCAGGGATGCAGGTTACTCCTCCCTCAGGAATCCAGCACTGCCACACCTTCCTGCCTGGGGGCTCACCGATCAGCAGTGGCATCACCTTCCTGGTGGGACCAAGCCCCATGGAGAAGACCCCAGGTGACCACCTGGTGAGCCTCGTCCTGGCAGCTCCTGTGGTCCCCTGGGCGGCAGCTCTGTTCCAGGGGCCAGCAACACAGACACCAGGAAGTAGGAAAGGTCACACCACCACGTGGGCCCCTTCCCAAGGCTTGAGGTGAACCTACAACACCTAATGTCCAGGACACCCGTGAGTCTTCAGCCTGGACAGCTTCTTGGGGAACTTCCTGCTGACATCACCAACCATGTCCCTGGTAAAGATTCTCTGGTTTCCTCTTTCTAGGGAACATGTTTGTGGGTCGAAGTTCCCCAGCTGCACTGTCACTTTTCTTGAGGTCCTCGGCTACTTTTTACCTCTTCTGTCACTTTGCTTTGCTTTCTGGGTGTCTTAGTTACTTTTATCTCACAGCACACACAAAATACCCAACACCCAATGTTAAGGGAGGAAAGGTTCACTTAGCTCACAGTTTGTAGAGGTTTCAGCTCAGAGTTGCCTGGCACCAAGGCAGAGGAGAAGCAGTCCTCGGCAGGCAGGGGCCAGCAACTGAAGCCAGCAGCCCTGTTTCCTATACTCCGTCCTGATTGCAGCCCTCAGGGCAGGCAGCTCTCACAGCCAGGTCTCATACCCATCCTCCACACCCAAAGCTGTGCTACACCAACCTGTGGACTAGTTCAGTAACCACACACCCTTGTCCCAGCATTACACAGTCTAGATCCGGCCACCTCTGGAAAAGCTCACCTATGACCGCTTGAGGCTTTGGGGAACATCTAGACACAAACCACAATGCTGGGAGACCTTCCAACATTTTATTTATTTATTTGTGTATTTATTTTTCAAGTGTCAGATATTGAAAGGTTTTGCACATGCTAAGCAGGTACTGAGCTACACTTCTGTCTTTTTTTTTTTCTGTCTTTTTTTTTTAACATCTAATCAGATTTTTAGATTTCTAAAAACTTTACACAGTGCCCTAAACATTAATTTGCACAACATCCAGTTCCTTCTTTACAGATTCGATGTTAACTAAGGAAGTTAGCAATTAGTTTTGTTTGGCTTTGCTTTGTTTATCTCTCCTCCTGTAGTCTCTTTCATGTTAGTTTTTTCTTGTTGGATTAGTTTTTGTTGTTTGGGTTTTTGGGGGGTTTTTTCCTTGCACTGTCATGGGAGAAGCTTTTCTTGGATGTCAGCCCACCTGGGCTACATGGCAAGGTCCTATCTCAAAAAAAAAATTTTTTTTTTTAAAGTGAGCAGTTAGATAACTGTGTGAGTGGATTTACTGTCAGGAGCCTCAGGGTCCCCAGCCTGCAGCCTGTTACTAATGGGGTCCAAGCCTGCACCCCTAGGTCTCCCCTCTAGAGCTGCTCCCCAACCCCCAGAGTCTCCCACTTCCCACAGGGGTGACAAAGCCCTTCTGCCTCCCACCTCCCCTAAGCAGGCTGGGGCTGTGGCCCAGGCACTCTGGGCCTGTCCCCAGAGTGCGTCTCATTGCTGCCTGTAGCCCAGAACTCCGGGCTCCACTTTCTCCAGGAAACACCTCTGCTTGGGGAGAGCAGAGGTCCCTGACAGCTGCTCCTACACTTCCTCCTCTTGGCTCCTCCTCTGCCCTCCAGATCCAAATGACAGCGGCCACTTCCCGGATTGTTAGGGTTCCGTTTCCAGGCTCCTGGCTCCCATGAGGATTCAGTCACCACCGTCTCTTTTTATCTTGGTGGAATTACGTTGCTTTGCCTTTTTAAAAAATCTGTGCATCATGGCCTTTGCAGAGACCCAGGAAAAGTCAAAATTAGACAAGATGGTCTATTTTAAAACTTGCCTCTTAATTTATCATTTTCTTCCGGCAGCAGAGGGTAGCAGTCTGTACTTCCCAGATCAAAAACGTGGGAAACTAAGTCCTTCCATTCTTCCACATGTGCATAGACCAAACCTTTCCACTGCACCTCAAGAGCCAAGGCAGGGTCTCAGGACACTTGGACTTTCTGTATAAGTTGGGTGACTTCCAAAGAGGCTGACACACCTTCCTACTCTTGTGATTCTTCCCTGCTGTTGTCCAGGCCATGGCTCACTTTCCCCATTGGGGGTTCCTAATTCTCCTCCCCTCTACAGCAGGAACCAAGAAGTCCAGGAAGCCAGCTTAGGACAAGTGACACGATGATAGATAACCTGTCCTGGAGGCTTCTTTGTCAAACACGGCTGATACTTTGAACTCAACACACCATCTTCTGCCTGTGTCCTGGAAGGGGCTGTCATACGTGCTGGAACCAAGGCCTAGTGTTACGGATGTAGGAAAGGGTGCTGGGATGTGTGCCCAGAACTAGGAGGAAAATAAAACTTGCCTTTACCCTCCCAGTGAGCACAAGCATTCCTATAGGTGTTTAGGCTTGTCGCAAGATTTTCTCTTCATAAATGTGTCCTTGACTCTGGGGAGAAAAACCAAGAGCTTCTCTATTTTCTCACCCTCCGCTTCCCCACAGGTCTGCCCAGAGAGGGAAGTGGACTAGAATTGAAAGATACCCTCTGGTGTTTGGGGGCTCCTGGCAGCAGTGCAGACACACGGGAGAAAGGAGCGGGGCCCTCAAGAGGGCTTCTCACCTCTGAGAGGAGAGTAGGGCAGGGGGGAGGCCCGGTTTCCCTGGAAATGGAAGAGAAGCCTAGAAGGCCAGAAGCCAGTGCTGTGGCCAGTGTTCTGTTCCCAACCCGGGCCTCCCACATGGCTCTGGGTGACTTCGGCCCAGCCCCAGGGGCCACGTGGCCATCTGCCACCCCAGAGCTGCTGGGATCCAGGGTTTGGGGTGTGGAAGGAGGACTGCCCCGCACCTCAGGCCTTAGAGAGCAGATCAAACGTCACACTTGTCATCCCTGCGGGCAGCGGAGCCCAGCGCCACTGACGTACAGACCAGAGCTTGTCACAGACCGTGACATCTCATCCCGGGCTTGTGGGAGGACACGCACAGGACACCCTCGGACCTGACTCGGGTTTCTCCTCTTGATCCTTCCAAGCCTCTCTTGCTGTAAAGACTGCAGCTCAGTGGTAGAGCACTGGCCTAGGCTGAGCGAGGCCGGTTCCACCCCAGCGCCAAAGAGAAAGATAGGAGGGAGAGGAAGAAGGAAAAAAATCCATACAGCGCCTCCATTGTGTCCACGGCAGAGTGCAGCCTGTCGCCACTGCTGCCTCTGTTTAGTAACTGGTCTGCCGGTCACCGGGTCACCTGCTCTGCAAGTCTGTCCTGTCTATTTGGAAGGGTTGTTGTGAACGCCCTGTGAACGCCCGCAGGCAACACCACGGCAGGGAAGCGCCTGGAGCTGGCTGCAGATGCGGTCCTGGAATGAGCAGCCCCGGCGCCAGGGGGTTGGCTCTGGCCTGTCATCCCAGCACTCTGGGAGGATGAGGCAGGAGGATGGAAAGTTCGAGCACAGTTTGGGCAACTTAGCAATGCAGTAAGATCCTGACTCAAATATAAATCAAAATTAACTGGAGAAGGTGCGGCGCCCATGTGGCTCAGTGTGGAAGCCCTGGGTTCCACCCCTCGAATGCTCCACTGCCCCAAAAAAGAAATTACGAAAAGGGGGTGGGGGAGCAGCCGCCCTAGCACTGGCTTTAAAGCTGGGCACGTCCTGGCCCTAGGCAGGCAGCTGAACACGGAGGAGGAAGTTCCGGCCCGGGACTCACAAACGCCAGTTCCCTCCAAAACGGGATGCCCTGTGGCAGCCACGGGAGGTCGAGCTGGCTTTCCCAAAAGGTGGTCCGTGCGCCCCTGGACAAAGAAACGTGCTCATGCCTTGAGAAAGTGGACTAAGCCCGGGAGAGCAGGGACAGCAGAGACAACCCGTCCCCACGCACAGGGGCGGAGAGGGCCCCAGCCACCGCCCAGGCTGCACGCAGGGGTTGGAGGCGGGGACGGGGCTGGGACTGGGCCGGGGCGGGGCGGGGCCCGGCAGTGTGTGCGGGCAGGTGAGCGGGGCGGGGCCGGCAGCGGCTCCTGGCAGCCCGGAGCCGCCCGTGGCCTTCCGCGCAGTGGCTCGCCATGGGCGGCCAGGACTGCGGCGTCGCCGTCGCCGTCGCGCTGCTGGGCGCGCTAGTGCTGGGCGCGGCGCGCGGGGCAGGTAAGCGCCGGGCGGGCGAGCGCGGGCTGCGGTCGGGCAGGTGAGGAGGCTGCAGCGCCAGGGGACCCCGATCGCCTGGGGTCCCTGGACGACGCGGCTCTGAGCGCTCCGGGCCTGGCGCGCTCTGGAACCCGGACGATCTCGCCCTGGGCGCGGCGGCGGCGGAACGTGGGGTCCCCAAGCCAGATCCTTGGCGCAGTGGGGACCCAGGCCGAGGAGGAGGAGGCGGAGCTCCGGCCTGAGTCCTGGGGACGAGCGCGCCCCAGGGGACCGACGGGTGTGAGGGGCGCGTCCTCCCCAGCGCCGCTTGTCCACCTCCTCCCCGGGCCCCGGAGGTGCCAGAAGACCGAGGTCAGCGCCCCCAAGTTCCCCTCGCCGCCGCTCGACGCGCTTCCAGGCTTGGGTGCGACTGGAGGAAAGCGCGGGGAGGGAGACACGCGGCCGGTGGACTTCGACTCCGGGAGAGGGCGGATCCGCGGCGGGGCGGCCCCCCGGCCCGGGTCGGCGCGCGCCGCGTGGACGTCCCCGGGACCCTGGAGGGAGCTCTGTGGTTGGTTTCGTGTAAGGACTTGATAAGCAGCTCTTTGTGAGACCAGCATGGCTTTTGTGGTTTTGTTTGTTTTTAAAAACAGCGCCATCCAGGTTTGGGTCTCTGAGACCATTTGCCAGCGCAGGGAGAGTTTGTGTTAGCAGAGAAGATTCCCTCGGTAAACGAAACTAAAGATGGAAGGAAGCAGGTTAATTTGGACTGGGGAGCGAAGGTCAGGTGGCAGGAAAGCTTCCTGGTTCCTTCCAACACCGGGTGACGCCGCCTTGTGCGTGTTCCTGCACTGTGTTAGCACTGAATCTTCAGGATTCCTTTCGGGGAGGGAAATCGGTCTTAATAAGAAGTGGTCTGGGAGTGAGGCTGTGTCCGCCACGCCGGAAGCTGTACTGCATCTCCGGGAACGGTTCGTGTGATGTCTGATTTTCTGGGATCAGAACGGGTCTCCAGTGAGGCGTGCCGGTGACGAACGAGAATGACAGCCTGCCCGACTGGCACCCGTTACTCAGCTGTTTCCCCTGGGACGGGGGTATTGGCCACTTCGGTGTTTGCTGGCTCCTCTAGAGTCCCTTCCCTCTGGGAAGTTCTTGACCAGCTCTGTGTGTCGTGGTTCAGGGTATAAAACCGGGAAGCCTAGGAGCGTCCCAGCTCACTTTGGTAAATTCCCCACTCCAGGCGCCCGCAGGAGCTGACCCTGTGAGGTCACACAGCAAGGCCCAGGGGGGCGAGGGGGCTGTTGTGGTTGGAACAGAGCTCAGCGCTGCACCAGGTCTGCCCTGGAGTGAATCTAACTCCGGGAGGCTATTGAAGTCACCTCAGGCTGTCCCCAAAGGATGGCGGAAGCCAGAGCAGACAGGAGATTGATAAATCCCTGAGCTCTTTTAACCTGGACTCTGGGCAGAATGGAAGTGACTTGGGATCAGGGCTGACCTCAGTTGCCTTGGCAGGGTGCATTCCTGAGACTGGCTTTCCCACTAGCTCCCCCACTTCCAGGAGTGCTTGGTTTGAAATGATAAGCTTGTTAAAACCTCAGCTTGGTTGGGTTTTGCAAGAACCACTGAGATACCAGACTGGGGGTCAGTGACCCCAATTCTTGCTGTCATTGTTAGCAGGCAGATCAAAGGATGTGTTTCTTCACCACAGTGAGTGTGCATGCGTTCATCATTCCCCAGAGTCGGATTGGGAACTGTCCTGGAATGTGTAACTGGCGGGGGATGAGTCCCCGGCTGTCCCGCACCCCAAGGATTTGCATGGGTTGAGTCAGTGGAGACAGCCGTCTGCGGAGACAGCCGTCTGCAGTCACGAAGGTGCCCTGCTTGTACCTGCCATTTCGGGGCCCACCTCAGGGACTATCATCCCACCCTCACAGGGGCCCTCTACAGTGCAGGGAGAGGAAGTTAAAAATCATATAACTGGGGCTGGGGATTTAGCTCAGCGGCATAAGCGCCTGCCTTGCAAGCAGGCAGTCGTGAGTTCGATCCCCGGTACCGATAAAAACGAAAAAGACCAAAAAAAAAAAAAAAAATCATACAACTGTTTTCAGTAGCACAGAATTGTTATAGAAACATCGGCAATAAATACAACCAAACTGGGAAAAAAAGCCATCCGAACAAACAGCTGGAATCATCTGGGTGCAGAGTCATCTCGTCAACCGAGAGCCTGAGCCACAGATGGGGAAATCCCATTACGTGGCGTTTAAAAGTGCCCATATTGGGCAACTGGGTTGCTTTCAGTTTGCCCTACAACATGACCAACATGAGGGGGAGACCTACATTAATTTTCATAGACCTATGAGGGAAAAGCCATTAAAAATGATCTGGCACCGATGACATCTTGACATGAACCAATGTGGTCATCCTGTTACCACAGTCATAAAACGGTGGGCCCTGGATTGTCCAGTTTGATAGATCTGAGATGCCTTCGGTGCCTGTGTTGTCCTGCCCGCTCTTGGCTGTTTTGTCTGCTGAAATTTGGGAAGTGGAGCTGCTGAAATGGGCAGTGGTGAATCCCAGGGTGTCCGTGTGCCAGGGCCTGATCCTCACCCTCCAATCCTGAGCTCCCAGCCTTGGTGATTCCTGGCATCTGTGGCAGAGGCCCTTTCCTCCTTTGCCCTGCAAGCCATGCGGAGGTGTCGGTGGGCAGCCAGGAGTCCTGTGGGCGTCCCCTTCACTGGGTGGAGCTAACACCCGAGGTGCTTTTTGCCCAAAAGAAAAGAAAACTGAAGCCCTTGGCTTCTGCTCACCTGCTCCTGGCCTAACTGTCCCGCACAGCCACTGGGGTAGAGGTAGGAGGTGGAGAAAAGGAAGTGGAGTCCACTGGTCAGAAGGAGCCACTGGATGTGGGGGCTGTGAGTGAGGAGACCCCTGCTATGGGGCACCCATGGCTAAGGTGCTCATCCTCGGAGATTAAGAAAATCCATACCCTTTTATTACCATTGTAAATTATAAAATTATCATGCAATCAAATGACTTCAGGCTTCATACCATGGCCTTGTAATTAGGCCAGCACCCTCGCCCAAGGTGCTGGCAGGACTGTAGACAGCCGGGCCAGGAGAGACCAGGTCCCTGCACCTCTCCGCCGCCTTGAATCTGTCCTTGTTTAGCTCATGAGTTAAGTTATCCCATGCTGCTCCCAGGACAGGGGCCCCTGTCACGCATGCTTTTTCCCTATAAGCATCTCTTGCTTGGCATTAGGAAGCAGATCGTGCAGACCTGACCTTCATGTGAAGTTACCAGCAGCCTGTGCCTTGGTATTTAACACAGGAAACAATTCACAGCCAATCTTGTTGGTTTTTGTTTTGGTTTGATTTTTGGAGACAGAGACTCACCAGGCAGTTCACGCTGGCCTGGAACTCACTATGTAGCCCAGGCTGGCCTCGAACTCTCAGCGATCCTCCTGCCTCAGCCTCCCCAGTGCTGGGATCACAGGTGTGCACCACCACACTTGGCAAATCCTTGCACTACAAATGGCTTAAGATGTCATCTGAAGACAGCCAGACCGGCTCTGTGGCTGCTTATGTGCAGGAACACGAACACATGTGCACACACACACACACACACACACACCCTGTACACCTTCTTTAGTCCCCACCATCCCCTACATTGTTGGTCCTGTGACACAAGTGGAGACCCCCTGCACATCATTCTGTTCAGATGCTGCTTTCGAAGTTGTAAATAAGCTTCCAAAGTAGACAGAGTGAGGTAGGTGGCTGAGATCTAAATTTGCTGATGTTTGAGTCTGAAAAGCCAAGATGTTTTCACCTGAGGGACCGAGGAGGAGGGACGGTCCAGAAGGGGGCTGGCTTCAGCGCTGGGTCCTGCAGCAGGTACTGCTAGAAACCCTCCCGTGGGCCTGGAGAGAGACGTGAGGGCCAGGCCCACCCAGCTGGGGGCGCAGTGGCCACCGGGACTTGTGACCTCAGGAAACAGATCAGCGACCACCCCGCCCCCGCCCCCGCCCCAGAAAGGGTTCTTCCTTTAAGAAGATCAGCGCTCAGTGTTGCGTTTGCATCCGTGCTAGGAATGTGTGTGTTTTTAACCACACGGACCATTTTCATAGTGTGCCTGGAAAATGAATCGCCGGCAGCCAGTCCGCACCTCAGGACTGTGTTTGGGTCGAGGACCGGCCACGTGGACAGCTGTGGTCGCGGACGATCGCAGTGCGAGGGCGCGCGGGTTGCCTGGTGACCTGGACACCGCGGTCACGTGTGCGCGGGCGCTTCCAGCGTGTTTGCTGCGCTGCCCGCACGCAGCGCGTGGGTGTGCGTGAGGACACTGATGATCCGTCCGAGTGGCGGTGTTGCTGGTGATGTCCGTTCTGCCCTTTGCTTCCTGTTGTCACTTTACACCGCATTCCTCCTACTTGCTAAAAAAAATAAATAACTCCCTCCGTGGGACCAGGCTTCGAGTGGGCGGTGCCCTGGGCCCGCCCTGGCCCGGGGCAGAACCGCTTCCTGTGGGACAGCGTGCTGTGTGCTACCACGCGCTGGATATCTCTGAGGCCAAGGGGAGTGGAGATCTAGAGCTTAGGTCCATGTCAAGCCCCACGTGGCATCTGCACCACGATGACGGCCCCTCACGTGTTGCGCAGGGCACGGTTCCGTGGTTAACCTAAGTGACACCATGTCACGCATCCCAGAGGCTGCCCTGATTCCTGGGTAGACGCAGAGCTGTTTCTGCGCTACCGGGGGCTGTAACCATACACACTCCTCTTCGGGGCACAAACAGAAGCAGGCTGTGGGGGACAGTCAGGGTTTACCCCTATTCTCCTTACTCTGTTTTCACCTTGCACTCGGTTTGGTGATCAGAATGCAGATCAACTGCTGTGTGCTTTTTGACAGCTACATAATATTCCAGTCAACAGAAACATGGTGTTGCATTTAGCTAGCCCCTTAGGGCTGGACGCTTCCTAGACTTTTGCTGGCCACTCCTCTCTGCTGGGTGTAAAGACAATCTTG